CAGTCAGTTAAGCATCCAGCTCTTGATCTCAGCTCAGGTCTTGATCTCAGGGTTGCGAGTTTGAGCCCTGCTTTGGGCTCCACACCGGGCCTGGCTCATACTTAAAAAAAAATTCTTAATCACTTCTTTTTTTTTTTTTTTTAAGATTTTATTCATTTGACAGAGATCACAAGTAGGCAGAGAGGCAGGCAGAGAGAGGAGGAAGCAGGCTTCCCACTGAGCAGAGAGCCCGACGCGGTGCTCGATCCCAGGACCCTGAGATCATGACCTGAGCCGAAGGCAGAGGCTTGAACCCACTGAGCCACCCAGGCGCCCCTCTCAATCACTTCTTAATGTTGGTATATATGAGTTGAATAGAATTCCTCCTTATTTATTTTAAACCAATATGTAGAGAGTAAGAGTGGGAGATGCTGGTAACATCCAAGGAGAGGAAAGAAAATAACCACTGTGTGTATATTTCCTGTGTCTGGGACTGGGAAACATAGCCATTGCTGGATCAATGGAAACCAACATTAGTGAATGTTTCCTGGAGTATTCTAGAACACAGGGTTTTTTAAAAATTGGGAAAATGATGAAGAATGTAATACCTAACATGTATGTAACACTTTTCTCCCTTACTCTGTGCTGTTTCAAAAAGGACTGAGAGTGAACTCAGCAACGAAAAACAACTCAACAAATGAGCAAAGAATTTGAAGGGAGCCTGCTGGCTCAGTTGGTAGAGCATGTGACTCTTGATCTTGGGTCAAGATCCCAAGCCTCACATTGGGTGTAGAGATTACTTAAAAATAAAATCTTAAAAAAAAAAAAAAGAATTTGAATAGACATTTTGCCAAAGAAAATACACAAATGATCAACAAGCACACAAAAAGATGCTCCACATCACTAACCATCAGGGAACTGTAAATCAAAACCACAACGAGATATTGCATCACACCCATTAGGATGGGTACTATTAAAAACAAACAAACAAACAAAATAACAAGTGTTGGAAAGGATGTGGAGAAATCGAAACGCTTGTGCACTGTAAGTGGGATTGTAAAATGGTGCAGCCACTGTGGAGGCACTCTGGTGGTTTCTCGAAAAATTAAAACTAGAATTAACATACAATCCAGGAATTTCATTTCTCTTTATATACCCAAAAGAATTGAAAGCAGGGTCTTGAATCAATATTTGTGCACCTATGTTCATGCATCATGATTCACGATGGCCAAAAGAGAGAAGGAAGCCAAGTGACCATGGATAAATGAATAGATAAACAAAATATTGTATGTACACACAACTGAATATTATCCAACATTAAAAAAAAAAGGAAATTCTGACACATGCTACAACACGAATGAACCTTGGGGACCTTACGCTAAGTGAAATAAGCCAATCATAAGAAGACAAATACTGCATATTTTCGGTTAGGGGATTCCTACAGTAGTCAAATTCACAGATGCAGAAAGTAGAATGGTGGTTGCCAGGGGATGGGGGGAGGGTAGAAGAGAGTTGTTGAGTTGGTACAGAGTTTTGTTTTTGCAAAGATGAAAAGAGTTCTGGACATTGGTTAAGCCAACACTGTGAGTGTATCTATCACTACCGAATTAAATGCTTAAAAATGGTTAAGATGGTAAATTGTTACTTATATTTTACCACAAGGAAAACATTTTTTAATTACTCTTTAAAAAGGATTAGGGGCACTTACAGCAACCCGTTGATCCTTAAAACAATCCAGTGAGGGAACAGGTTGGGTATTTTTATTCCCATTTTAGAGTAGAAGAGATTCCTTTGCAGTGGTGTCATGGAGCCCCCACAGCTTTTAGGGGAAAGCAATGGCTCCAGTCTGCCCTGGAATCCTTAATGATAGGATGTGATTCTATACTTTCTGATCCTCATTCTCATCCAATTCCTGACCTAGTGACCTGTGCTTGGCCCCCAGCAGCCTCCCTCCATCACCCACTCTTCTAACTTTGCAGACTCACGCAGGGACTGGAGGTTCTCCTGGATGCCCTCTCAGGACTGCACAGAAAACTCAGAGGTGGCATGGCAGTGTCTTCCAGTGAAATGAACAGAATCTAAATGTTACAGTTTCATGAGGTCTAACAAAGGCATTCAACTGTATAAGCCACACTCCTATCAGGATATACAACATCCATCCCTCAGAAAATTTCCTTTCCCAGTCAATACTCCCACGTCAAGGCAACTACTGTTTTTATTTTTTTTTTTATTCCATAAGAATTTTTAAGGTTTTTTTTTTTTTTTTTTTTTTTTTTGGCAGGGAAATAAGGGGAGATGGTTTTTTGCTGAGATTTTTTTTCTGAGCAATTGTGTATGCCAGGACCTGAGGCATGTTAAAGTTAAAAAAAGGAAAGAAAGAAAGAAAGAAAGAAAGAAAGAAAGAAAGAAAAGAAAGAAAAGAAAAGAAAAAAGAAGTAGCTTCCTTTGTTTCTCCCTCATTTTAATTATAGCTTTCCTTTCCATGGGGCTTGTCTGTCCCACCAATCTGAGAGTCCCTTGAAGGCAAGGTCCAAGACTATTTATGTCTGTGTCCTCGCTGCCTAGCACACAGTAAGAGCACAGCAGGTGCTGGGCATTGTTAAGCACCTTTCACACATTAATTCATTTAATTCTTGTGATACTCTGTGAGGAAGGTGTTAGGATGCAGTCCATTTCACAGATGAGGACAAAGAGAAATTTAATAGCTTGCCCAAGACACCATAGTGGGGAAGCAGCAGAACTGAAATTTGAACTCGAGCAATGTGGCTCTTAATCAGTATTAAGAGTATGGCTCTTAGTCAGTATTCTCATCTGCCCCTCAATGACATGTGTTTGTTGAATGAATGAACAATGATCCTTTTCACCTTCCCATCTCCATATGCCCATAGCCAAATTGAATGGTTCTCTCTCCAAAGTTCTTTTTCCCATATCTGACCTTGCTGTTCCTCCTGGGTCTCAGAAGCATGGAGACCTTCTTGTCTTCCCTAAGATTTTATTTATTTGTCAGAGAGAAAAAGAGAGAGCGCAAGCAGGGGGAGCAGCAGACAGAGGGAGAAGCAGGCTTCCCGCTGAGCAAGGAGCCAGATGCAGGATTCAATCCCAGGACTCTGGGATCATGCCCTGAGCAGAAGGTAGACACTTAACTTGACTGGCAGACACTGAGCCATCCAGGCATCCCAGAATGGAGATTTTAACCTCTCTCCTCCCCAGCCTCATTGACTGCCTACATGCCTACCTGCTTGTACTCACTAATCTTTGTCTTACATCTTGTCTTAAGCTCTTCTTTCCACTTACCTCTCAACTCAGGCACAGGAAACCCAAAATGACCCCTTAGGTGATGGTGAAGGCCCTGATAAGGCCTCCCACCAGCCCAGACCACCTGTACCCCCACTCATGACTGCGCAGATGGACCATGGAGTGACCTTTGGAATGACCTACACTACCTTTACTTCATTATAATACATCTGCCTAAGGAGGAGACTTAGACTCATTCACATAACGTACAACGCATGTATAGGCATGTTTCCTTAAGGCACTGGACAAACTTATGCCTGCCTCTACATAGGAACAAGGCTCCCTATCTAACTATTCATCCTAACCCTAAACAAAAGGAACCCATCCACCCTCTCTTGAGGAGTCAAGGCTTTGGAAGTCATTCCCTATGATCTCCTTATTTGCTGAAAATAAAAGTTTTCTTTGTGCGACGACTCAACATGGTTCAGTTTCTGACTCACCAAAGAGCAAACTCATGTTGGTTTAGTTGCACCTTTGCAATTGCTGCCCCATTGTTTGGGGGCCTTGGGGTTTACATGCATTATTATTTAACCTTCACGATAATCCACAGGCTAAATATTATTATTCATGTTTTGTAGAGGAGAAATCAAATAATAGAATCCAGGTTCATATGGGTTTTGTCTGGCTCTTAGGACTCTTCTATCTCCAAAAGGACTGGTGACCTTGAGCAAGTCACTTAACCTCCAAGAATCTCAGATTTCTCATTCTTAAAATGGGCATAATAATGATAATTATCTCATTATGAGAGCAACTGAGAAAACGGTACAGTGCCTGACACACAATTAAGTGCTCAGTGGTCATCAGCAGTTAAAGTTCACAAAGCCTATAGCATACGTAGCACCAGAGCTGGCTAATTGTTTTGACCAAAATGCTTTCTGGAAGGGCTCTTGAACTACAGCGGGGAAGAAATTGCCATAACTGGTCCCTTCTTAGTCTCTTAAAGGAGCTCTCTCCAGGGAAGCCCGGTGTGCTGTATGAGAAAAATTACCTTACTGCTCACTTGCAGGGTACACGGCAATAGAAAATGCATCCAGTTTAGTGGAGAGCGCATAGAATCTGTGACTCTGCCCGGTCCAGGGTGTGTGACCACAGGCAGTCTTGAAACCTCTGAACTTTTGTCATTTACAAATTGGAAATAATACCTTACCCCCAGGAAAATTGCGATAATGCACATTCAGCCTTGAGGGCATTGCGGGACACATAGTAAGACCTACATAAAGGAGTTGTGCAACATTATCATAGTCAGATAATGTATATGAGCGTGCTTTATTGCATGGACAAGATGAACTTATAAATCTTGTCATCAAAATAAAGTGTTAAAAGTACAGGAAAGGTAAAAGGATCATACAGATCAGGTACTAGGGTATTGCCCTCCGGGAGGGAACAAACCTGAGTCGGCAAGGGAGTAACTGTAGCCCTCGCCCACCCGCCTCCGAGCCCCGCCTCCAGGGTTGAGTGACGTGACGCCCAAGGCCCGCCGACGGGGGGGGCGGGGCTGGCCTTGGTCACGTGAGAGCGGGTACGGAAGTGGTGCAGCGGGCCGCGTCTGTGGTTGGCCGCGGCCGCGGGGCTGGGGGCGGGGTCAAGCCGGCCAGACGCGCGGGGAGGAGCCGGGGGAGGAGGCGGGCGCGGGGGCCGGCGTCAGAGTCGGGGGTTCGGTCTGCGGGGCCACCGAGTGCTGGACCGGCGGCGGTCCCGTGCGCCCCCGCCTGCGCGCGCCAGCTGCTCTGGGTTCCTCGGGCCGAGGCCCCGGCGGCTGCGGCAGACCGGTGGGGTGGGCAGGAGGAGGCTCGGAGGGCGCGGGCGCCCTGTGCGCGGAGCGGGCGTGAGGCAGCCGGGCTCCGGGACGCCATGTCCATGGAGGACCCCTTCTTTGTGGTGAAAGGGTGAGTGTCCCCGTGGGCTCCACTGGTGGAGGAGGTGGCCGTGCTGCCAGCCCGCACCTCCCCGCTCTTCTCTCTGGAGGGGGAGGGGAGACAAGTGGAGGCTAGGGAGGGGACAGTGAGGACGGCTTAGCTTGCAGGGCCATGAGCAAGCGTCCAAAGACCTCCCCTCTCCGTCCTACCTGGACTGTGAAAACCGTACCCCCAACCAAGCCCCTGGGGAAGGGGATCCCTTTTGGGCTGTGCGCGGAGATGCAACTTACTTGGGGTGCGAGGGGATCAGCAGCTCTGCAGGTGGGGAGGGGAACACGCGTCCCAGCCCACACTGGGGCTCTAGTGGAGCACGGGGCCCTACTTCGAAGGAGGGAAAACAGCATCTGGGCAGGAAAAGGGAAATGGCCCTCCTGAGCTTTGTAGTTGGCGTTGATGGGGGTGAGCTCCCATTGTCCATTGAGTTTGGAGCGCCGGCCCGCAGAGTGGTGAGACCACAACACGCCCAGAGGCGTCTGAGCACGTTTGCAGGCTGGGCTGCGGGGGAGCAGGGCTCCGGAAGACAACTCAATTCAGTGGGGGCGTTTTTACTGAGTAATGTGAGGGGAGGAAAGCAGTCGTTCGAACTCGGCGGTGATGTTGGAAGGAAAACAAAATGAAATCAGCCAAACTAAACTTTCCTCAGCTTTCTATTAGCAACTGGGATTTTCCCACAGTGCTAAAGGAAGTGAGTGCTTTCTTTTTAATTCCCTGATTTCATCCAGGCTCTTTGACAGGTTTCCCCCATTTCTTATCCAGCCTTTCAGAACAGAACTGCCTTAACTTATTTTTTTCCGAGGAGCTGTCCTGACTCCATCTTTGATTGCTCGATTGTTTGGAGATAGAAACTTTATTTGTACTTTGTTATATTATCTTTGTAGCCATTAAACAAATCCAAAAAAAAAAAAAAAAAGGTCGATTTTCATGCTGTTGTAACTTGTCAGCTTTATGTTTTAAATGTCAGACATAATAAAGTCTGACAACTCCATAGTTCCCAGATCAGGGCTAATAACCACAAAGTGTCCCTTTGCTTCCAACTAGTTGCTGCTAGCTTCTTATTAATGCTGACCAGTTGCTTGAGTGTTTGTGTTTTTTAAGGATTCATCTAAGAAAATTTACATGGTACTTTAGGTGAAGTACTTTGTTATCCATGATACAGTAAAATATGTATTTCTTAACATTTTCCTTAAAGGTCTCTTTCTTCATCCTACTTAAAGGTAGATGGAAAAATGCTGAGTTGCAGTTTGATTAGTAATATGTGGCTCTGTACCTGGAAAATGTGTTATTTGTTAGAAGGATTAGTTTAGGGGTTAATTTTTAAATGTTAAAGCCATGTGTCTTTCCCTCGAATGAAAGTTCTTAATGCTCAGGTTGCAAAGGTTATCATCTCTGGCAGTGGAAACCAGGGATAATCAGAAATTTTTTGTTTGTTTGATTTTTAATGGAATCTGTGAAAATGCTAAATTGCGGCACCATCTTGGCTTTTTTTTCCCCTGATAGTATCCTGTAGAGTCTATCAGTGCTTGCTTACTGATGAGATATCACTGCTGTATCGGAACATTGGCCTGGATTCTTGGTTGACTTTTTTATCATTTTAGCTTGTGTCCTTAAGGTGTCTGAAGGAAGAGATTGGTGTTACCTTCTGCCATAGAAGGTAAAGTTAGCCACAAGGGTGTATCCAGATTGTGACAGAATATTTGGGGAACTGTGTATCTCTGTTTATTGGAAGTATTGAAAATGCATCGCACAAAGTGGAAAATTAGATGCCTACGTTTTGGCCCTTAGCCTAGCAGCTGTTGGTTCTGAGAAACAACTCACCCCAAAATTAAGTAGAAATGACAGGTGATAAATTGAGTGCTAAAACAAATGTTACAGAAGATTAACTGCCCCAGTAGTTCTGAGAAAAGCAACTCATTAGAATTGGTTATGATTGGAAAAGCTTTTAGAAGTAGTAGTAGGTCTTGAATTAGGTTATGAAGATGGGTAGAATTGAGATAATTCAGGCCTGTGTCTCATCTGGACTCTTATTAAAGAGTCTCTTATTTGGTTTGCCTGCTTCTAGTCATCTGCCTTTGGTTCTTTTGGGTTAGTGCTATCTAAAATATAATGTGAGCCATATATGCCATTTTCCTAGTAGCCATCTTATTTATTTATTTATTTATTTGACAGACAGAGAGGCAGGCGGAAACAGGCTTCCTGCGGAGCAGAGAGCCCGATGTGGGGTTTGATCTCAGGACTCTGAGATCATGACCTGAGCTGAAGGCAGAGGCTTAACCCGCTGAGCCACCCAGGCACGCCCTAGTAGCCATCTTAAAAAGTAAAAAGAGGGGCATTTGGCTGGCTTAGTTGGTGGAGCATGTGACTCTTGAGCTCCATGGCATGAGTTCAAGCCCCACAGTGGGTGTAGAGCTCACTTCAAAAAAAAAAAAAAAAAAAAGTAAAAAGAAACTAGTGAAATTAATTTTAATTTCATCCTTAATGTATTCAAAATATTTCAGCAGATGGCTAATATGAAGATTATAATAGGATATTTTAATTTTTCTGTACTATGTTTTCAAATTTGGAGTATATTTTACACATATAGAACATCTCAATTTGGACACTAAATTTTCATCAGGAGTATTTGCTCTATATTTAGAGTATATTGAATTTACAGTTGAAAGAGTAGATTCACATACCCAAACATCCCAGACATACTTAAAAATTTTCCAGTAACTGAGTTGCATGTCAGTTTTTAAATGTAAGTTAATTGAAATTAAAAAATTAGTTCCTCAGTCACACCAGTGCATTGTAGGCGATCCACAGTTATGTGTGGAGCCCATGGTGGGTAGAAGAGGTGTAGCTCTTCTAGAACCCAAGCAGGGGTTCCGCACTTAACATCATTTCGTGGCTGCCTGTTTAAAGTCCAAACTCTTCATGACCACCATGATGCAGCCGTCCTTTACCCTCCAGCCAGCCTGCCTTTTCTCAGCTCAGAGCTCCAGCAAGGTCAGACTTAGTGATTACAACCACAGTCCTGGCTGCTCTTACTCCACGTACACCCACTCTGCCTGGTTCACCCACTAAGCTTTGAAGATCAGTGTAAGCAACTGCATTGCCTCCAGGAAGTGCTTCCCTTGGCACTTGTAACACGTTATTACACCTCTTCCTCTGGCTGTCTTTCATTATTAGACTATGAGCTCTGAGGGTTTGGGGCTGTTTATTTTTCCTGTATTTCCAGCCCAGCACCTTGAATATATGGTATAAATGTTAAATAAATACTCGTGGTGGTGGTGGTGGTGGTGTTGGTGGTTGAGGAGTAGTGGTTCCTGGGTGGGAACACCGCCAGCAGTTGCCCTGAGATGGGCATTGTGTATTAGAAATGATCAAGGAGTGTATCCCGGGTGCTATAGGAAGTTTATTTAGGGAAGTAATAGTAATAGGCAACATTTAAAGGATGCAGCTCCTGTCCAGGCATTTGAGCTAAGTAAGGACTTTATAAACATTTTCACTTATAGGAAGAGCTCTGTGATGTGGGTACCACCCACATTTAGAGATGAGGAACTGAGGGAGCCCAGAGGGGTTATTTGCCTGGAGTCACACAGCTAAGAAATGGTAGACCCAAGATTCAAATTCGAACTGCCTGGTTCTACTCACACTGTTAAAACTTCACAGTACAGGTAGAATAGGGTCAAGGACAGTCTCATTTTGAAGCCATTGGAGATTTTTCAATCTGGGAAATGGAATGACATGAGGGTTTTGGGGAATATTGATCTGGTAGTACTGTTGGAGACATCCATGTGAGGAGAGATTTAAAAGGGGACCAGTTGGAAAGCTGTGTTAATTGAAATATGCAGTTCTTAATGCCCAGATGTTTGGGCTAGGTTTGTGAGGGTTTGACGCGATCAGTGTCCCATTCAGAGCAGAATCCCAGGACACAGAGGAGAAAACCACCACAGTGGGGCAGCTGAGCTCTCAGGGCATGTGGGGCCCCAACCTGGCCTAGACATTCCCAGTGGTGTTTATCGCACCAGAACTCAGTGTCTGAAACTCCAGGCTCTCCTGAATCACCTCCCCCTGCCCTTCGCTCGTAGCCTCTTAGGTGGATCCTGTCCATGTGCTATCACTGGGGCAGCTTCGTTATTCCCCCTGCATCAGGTATTGCCCGTGTATCTGAGCACATCTGGTCACTCTGGTCCCACTCTCTTCCCTCCCTACAGATGCCTGACCAGATCTTCCTCCTTTTAGCTCTCCACTCCTGACTCCCCATTCTCCTTCAATCCCACATCTACTTGGTCATCATGTCCTATCAGGGCCATCCCTTGGATACTTCTGGAATCTCTTCTCCCTCCCTATTTATGGTTCTTCTACCGTAGTGCTTGTCCTTGTTCTCTCCCACCTGGACGTCTGCAAGCAACTTCTTCAGCAAGCTTTGCGCTGCTACCAGATGTGTCCACAGAGACACGATTAGGTCACGTCTCTATTCAGAATCCTTTATTCTAACACCCTTATGGAGTGTCTGTTTTTGTGTGCTGGGAGCTGAGGGTACAGCAGAGAGCAAACAAAATCCCATTTTTACGGAGACTACATTCTAGGGACAGGAAACAGACCAATAACGTGGTATGTCAGGTGGTGATAAGTTCTGTAAGAGTAAAGGGGGGTAAAGAGAAAGGAAAATGGATTCTGGGTGTAATTTTTCTTTTTATCTGACTTCAGGAGGCAGTGAAGTTTGGTGAAAAAACTGTTTTTTGGTAATCGAGCTGACCCAATGTTGGGATCACACCTTTCAATTACTTGGTGTAACTTTGGCTATTGAATTCTCCTCTTTGAACCTGTTTTTACAAAGTGGCTTAGCACTGTACAAAATTGCCTTAACAATACCTGCTTTATTGGTTATAAGGATAAAGTGAGTTAATACATGTAAATGGCCTAGCAGTTGGGGGCACATGTTAAATGCCCAGTAAACATTCTCTTTTAACTGTCTGTTTCTGGGG